TGATCTGTGGCACTTGAGAACTCTGCCAGGTTTCCTACATCTCTGGCTTGTCATTCACCTCCTGCATGCGGGTAGCTTCCACATCCATTAGAGGTGCATGTCCAGGCTCTGGTCAGGTCTTTTCTGAGTGTACATTGGGTTCTCAGCACGTTTGTTGCACTCTGGCTTCCATGATTTACATGTGGCCTTTCTGAGCCTTTTTCCTCCTCATTCCTGGGCATTGGGATCTGGCTGGTATTTTCCCCGTCCACTTTCCCTTCTCCAGACAGATATCATTAGTCCATTTCTTTGATTTTTTGGACAGATGTTACCTCTGCCTGCATGACCAGAGAACAAAATAGAGGTCACTCTCTGCACTGATTCCTTAGGGAACTGTAAGCAGGTGAAAACACTTGACCACATTATTTTAAGAACAAAACTCCTGTCTTACTTCATTTGGGCTGCAATAATAACATATCACAGACTGATATAAATAACTGAAATTTAATTCTCCCAGTTCTGAAAGCTGGTGGTTTAACATCAGGGTGCATGCACTGCCAGGTTCTGCTAAAAGCCCTCTTTCAAATTTCCTGCTGCAAATTTCTTGCAGTGTCCTCTTGAGATGGAAGGGGCTAGGGCTCTCTGTAGGGTCTCTTTTATAAGACCTCTAATCCCATAGTCCTCATGACCTAAGGCCCCAGATATCATCACAATGGACATTATCATTCCAACAAATGAATTTTGAGTGAGACACACACATTCAGACATAACAGCTGTATTAGTCTCCTGGCTCCATCTGGCCACACAAGGATGTGGCTCACTTACCATAGTCACTGCTGTGCTCAGAAATAGGGGATGATAGAAAGTTAAATGCCTAAGTGCTTTCTTTCTGAAATGTAGTGGTTTTCATTAAGCACTTCCTCGGTTGGTATAAGTTTTTCATTGATTAAATTCCAGGCTTGCAGAGATGTTGACTCTGGCAATTTTTGCTAGCTTAATGGTTGTCACAGTGGAGAGAGTAATTCTTAGAGCACCTTGCTTGGCAATTTTCCATGATAATACTCCTCCATTACCTTTTTTTTTTTTTTTTAAACTTTATTTCTTAGAGCAGTTTTAGGCTTATAATAAAATTGGGAGAAATGTACAGAAGTTACCTCTATACCCCCTGCACATGCATAGCCTCCATTTTCAACATCAAGTGCTAGCTAGAGTGGTACATTTTTTTACCAACAACGAACCTGCATTTGTTGACACATCATATTCACCTAGAGTTCATATATTATATTGGATTCATACTTCGTGGTGTGTTTTCCTATGGGTTTGGACAAACATATAATTGGCTATCCATTATTACGGTATCATAGAGTATCTTCATCGCTTTAAAAATCCTCTTTTCTGGGGCTCCTGGGTGGCTCAGCGGGTTAAAGCCTCTGCCTTCGGCTCAGGTCATGATCCTGGGATCGAGCCCCACATCGGGCTCTCTGCTCATTGGGGAGTCTGCTTCCTCCTCTCTCTCTGCCTGCCTCTCTGCCTACTTGTGATCTCTGTCTGTCAAATAAATAAATAAAATCTTTAAAAAAAAAAATCCTCTTTTCTGCCAGTTCATCATCCTCACCCCTGACCTCTGATCTTTTTACTGCGTCCATACTTGTCGCCGTTTTCGAGAATGTCATGCATGCAGTTAGAATCCTACACTATGTATCTTTCTTAGAGTGACTTCTTTCTTTGAGTGACTTCTTCTTTCTTTCTTAGAGTGACTTCTTTCACTTAGTAATATGCATTTAAACTTCCTTTATGTCTTTTCATGGTTCAGTAGTGTGTTTGTTTTTTAGTGCTTAATGACATGCCATTATTTGGCTGTAACACAGTTTATCCATTCACCTACTGAAGCCGTCTTGGTGGTTTCTAAGTTTTTGTAGGTATGAACAAAGCTGCTATAAACATTTGTATGTTTGTATTGTATTTGGTTTTTGTATTGATACAAGTTTTCAGCTTCTTTGAGTAATTACCAAGGAGCATGACCACTAGATAATATGGTAAGAGTTTGTTTAGTCTTGTAAGAAACTGCAAAACTCTTTTCCAAAGAGATTGTACCATTTTGCATTCCCACCAGCAACGTAGGAGAGTTCCTGATGCTCTACATCCTTGCTTTTATTTGGCATTGTCAGTATTTTAGATTTTGGCAACACCTGATAGATGTGTAGTGGAATCTTTATTGTGTTAATTTGCATTTTTTAAAAGATTTTATTTTTTTGAGAGAGAGAAAATGTGAGAGAGAGCACAAGAGCGGGGTGGGGGTCAGAGGGAGAAGTAGACTCTCTGCTGAGCAGGGAGCCCAGTGCTGGGCTCGATCCTGGGACTGCAGGATCATGACCCAAGATGAAGGCAGATGCTTAACTGACGGAGCCACCCAGGTGCGACTGATTTGCATTTCTTTGACAACCTATGTTGTAGAACATTTTTTCATCTGCTTATTTGCTATGTATAGGTCGTCTTTGATGAAGTGTCTATTAAGGTTTTGGCCCATTTTTTTTTTAACTGTTTTCTTCTTACTGAATTTTAAGAGTTCTTTGTATATTTTGGATAACAGTCTTTTATCAGATGTGCCTTTTGTAAATATTTTTCATAGACTCTGATTTGTCTTTTCATTCCCTTAACATCTACCATAATCTTTGCTGTTTATTATTTGTTGCTCTTTTTCTTTGGTTTTTTTTTTTTTTGGTCTTTCTTGCCTTTTGTGGTTTGAGTATCTTTTTTTTTTCCCTAAAGTAGGCTCCACACCCAGCATGGTGTCCAGCATGGGGCTTGAACTCAACCCTGAGATCAAGATCTGAGCTGTTATCAAGAGTCACATGCTTAACTGAGCGACCCTGGCTCCCCAGTTTAATTGGTGTCTCATATGGTTTTGTTTTCTCTCCTTTCTTAACATATCAGTTATAGCTTTTTTTTTTTTTTTTTTCAAGTCTCCTTTCAAATAACAGTGTAGCATTTCATGAGTAGTGGGAGTACTTGATAATAAAAAAAAAAATCTTAATCTGTTTTCTAGTTCTTTGTATTGTTGCTCCTATTCATTTCACTTATATATGAACATATGTAAGTATAAAATATACATAAGACATACATGTAAGCATATATAACCATACACATTGTTACTATTATTTTGAATATATTAATTTGATTAATAAAATAAGTAAAATAAAAGTTTTTATTTTACCTTTACTTTTTTCCTCTTCATCTCTCTTCCTTTTTGTAGATCTGAATTTCTACCTTACGGTCTTTCTAACTTCTTTTAATATTTCTCAAAAGACAGGTCTATTTACGATAATTTCCCCTATTTTTTTGTTTATCTTAGAAAGTCTTTGTTTTAACTTGTGAAGGGAAATTTCTTAGGGTACAGAATTCTAGGTTGGTGGGGTTTTTTTTTCCCCCCCTCTTTAAAATTTTCACTACACTCGTTTTGCTTCCCTGGCTTCTGAGAAGGTAGCTGTAATCCTTAGCTGTGCTTCTCTATATGTAGGGTGGTTTTTTTCCTTTAGTTTCTTTCAAGACTTTTTCTTTATATTTTATATATATATTTTATATTTCTTTATATTTTTTATAGTTTAAAAATATGCCTTGGTGTAGTTTTTTGATTATTTGTTTGCATTTATTCTGCTTAATGTGCTCTGACCTTTGTGGATCCATGGCTTAGTGCCTGACATTATTTTGGGGAAATTGACAGTCCTTCTTGTTTAAAATCTTCTGCACTTTTCTCTTTCTTCTGGTATTCCTGTTACGCATATGGTACATCTTTTGCAGCTGTCCCACAGCACTTGGTTATTCTGTTCTGTAGTCTTTGTTCTCTGCTTTATCTATTTTTATGACTCTACTGATACATTCTGCAGCTCAGGGATTAATTCCTCAATTGTGTCTATATCCTAATAAACGCATTAAATGCATTCTGGTTACAGTGTTTCTGATCTTTAATGTTTATTTTTGTTTTATTCTTAGGATTTCCATCTCTCTGCGCTGTTCATCTGTCTTGCATGTTGTTTACTTAGTCCGTTATACACCTTAGCATGTTAATTGTTATTTTAAATAGTTTTATCACTTTAAGTTGGGTTGTTTGCCTTTTGGGATGCTAAGCTATTTTTTTTCTTTATAGCCAGATGTGAAGTACTGGATGAAAAGAACTATTACAAATAAGCCTTTAATGATTTGGTTGTAGGATGTGTGGGAAAAGGAAGCGTTCTCTGGTACTGTGATTTGCTCTCAGTTTTTTAATGATCCCTTGCTTCTGGTCTGTGAACTTAAGTTTCTCAGTACTCCCCTTCTCCCTGCCTTAGTGGGACAGAATGGCTGGAGTTGGGGAAATTGGGTATTTCCCTTCTTCCATATAGAATAGTAGACCTGACTGAAGTTGGGTATTTCCCTTCTGTAGATATTTTGACTTTGATAATACTTAATTAGGTTAAGCTCTAGTTAACTAGTTTCTCCAAAGAGCATGTTTTTTTAAAGAAGAACATAGTGCTGTGTCATATTTTTTAAAGGGCTCCTTTTCCCCTTTTCTTGCCTGAAGCATGATGGGTTTTTTCCTCCAATATTTTTTGTGGGAACCTGGTCCAGTTCCTGGAGGTATATTTCAAAATATTGTTGAGGGGGGCTCGTATGATTGGGTCCCCCTAGAGTTGTCCACTTTGAATCTCCAGCAGTTCAGGAGAATGAAACAGTTTAAATTTTCCAACCTTGGCACTGGTGTACATGATAGTTTTCTTTTGTGAGCTTCTGCTCTGGGAATCTGACTCCCTTCATGGTTTTTTTAAATTTAGAGATCAGCATGTGAATAGGGTTGTTTGTGAGTTAATCTGTGTCAATTCAGATCAAATAGTGCTATGTTTTCTTTGATGTGAGTGGAATGAAATAGGATGAAATGAAAATTGAAATTGTTTTCATTAATTTTTACTATATTTTATGTTTAAAAAATACTGTAAAATGTAAAATTGGATTGATAGCTAATTTTTGTCCTATCTTTTTCCGTGTAGATTTGAAACCAAAATTGATTCATTTCATGTTACTGGCTTACCAGATAATTCGACAAAACCCCGCCTCCTGTCTTCATTGGATGATGCTGCATCACTCTTCCAAATTATATTTGAGATAAATCCTTTAGATGAAACTGTTGCTCAGAGGTGTATCATAGAAGCTGAACCTTTAGAAATGATATATGATGCAGTAAGCATTTTTTTAATCACTAAGTTTTAATATATTTATGTTTGCTTTGACTTTGTGCCTAATGTTAATGGTACTTATTTTAACAGAGAACAGTAAATAGTATAGTGGACTTCTTCAGACCTCCAAAAGAGGTAAATCTAGCACAGCTCACATCAGCGACTTTGACAAAACTTGAAGAATTTCGTGACAAGACAGCAACAGGTAAATGCTAGTATTAAGGTTGGTATATTAAGAATTGTATCCTATACTAAACTTTTTATTTTATTTCATCTTATTTTTTAAAATATTTTATTTATTTATTTGATAGACAGAGATCACAAGTAGGCAGAGAGGCAGGCAGAGAGAAAGTGGGGGAAGCAGGCTCCCTGCTGAGCAAAGAGCCTGATGCGGGGCTGGAATCCCAGGACCCTGGAATCATGACCTGAGCCCAAGGCAGAGGCTTTAACCCACTGAGCCACCCAGGCGCCCCCTATACTAAACTTTTAGTCATATTAAACTGATTTTAGTAAACTGATTAATACTTTAAATTTATGCTTCTAGACTAGATATAGTTTAGTTGAAACTAACTGGTACTGTTACATTAAAAATTCAGGTATAACAATAATCCTTTCTTATACTCAGAATGGACAAACTTACTGTCACATTGAAATTAATTGCATATTATGTTAGGATTTTTGGAATTCTGTTCATGAGAGAATGAACCTCTCATTTTTATTCCATTTAATGAACTCTAATTTTAATACATTGGCCTCAGAAAATAAAAATTCCATCCTTTTTTATTCTTTTGAAGAGTTTTTATGAGATTGGGTGTTATTTTTTCTTCCAGTGTTTTACCTAATTGAATAGTAAAAGCATATGAACTTGGAGATTTCTTTGTGGAAGATTTTAAATTACAGATTCCATTTTAAGATGTATTTTAAATATACGTATATTTATACGTAAATATACGTGAATATACATATATTTAAAATATATAAGATTATATAAAGTTGATCTGTATGATTTTAATGCCTTGCAATTTCTTGATACTTGCTTTCTGGCTTGGTATATGGTAAGTTAAAAAACTGTTTCACATATGTTTGAAACGCCTATATTTTTCATACCTATACATATTTTTAGGTCATATTTATCATGTACTTCAAGTCTTCTGTATCCTTATTGGAATTTTTTCCTTTCTTCTGTCACCATGTTCCAGTAGTTCTTCAGAGAAACAAATGAAAAATATTGTCACTGTGAATATGCATTTGTCTATTTCTTTAAGATTTGTCATATTTTTCTTTATAAATTTGCTATCAATAGGTACATGCATAATACAACATTTTTCTTCAATAAACCAAATCTTTCCTTTATATGAAGTTGACTGTGTGTATTTTTTATAATGTTTTAGTTTTTTCCAATTATAATATTTTGATTTCTTTTTTCTGATATTAGTATGGATGTTTTAGTTTTTTCTTAGTTTGAATTTGCCTATTTTTTTGTTCTTTTACCCTGTATCTTTACTTTTAGATGTGTCATGACAACAACGTGCAGTGGGATAGTTCTCAGTCTGTATTTACATACTTTTTCTTTTTTTTGCCTTTTTTTAGCATGACTTTGTTTCCCTTCACCCCCTCACTATACCATTTGAAGCATTCTCTTTTTTTACTCTAGTAATTAGGACATATTTTTCTCAAGATAGAAATTTAATAAAAAATTTTTACCCTCTCTCAGTCATTACGAGGATTTGAACAGTTGAACTCCCGTTTACCATCCTCAGCACTTACATGCTATTGTTCTTTCTTTGTTTGACTTTTTAAGATTTTTATTCAAGTATAGTTGACTTACAATCTTAGTGGTAGGTATACAACATGATTAGCCAATTCTCCACATTACAGTTTTTGTTTTGTTTTTGTTTTAGAGTAATAGAGAGTGCATGCATGTGCTCGAGGTGGGTAGGGGAAGAGCAGGGAGAGGAAGAGAAGGAATCTTAAGCAGGCTCCAGTGAGTGGAGTGTTAATGTCCCCTATTAAAATTGTATTATTATCAATGTGTTTCTTTAATTTTGTTATTAATTGGCTTGTATAATTGGCTGCTCCCACATTAGGGGTATAAACATTTATAATTATTAGATCTTCTTGGATAGGTCCTTTAATTATGATATAGTTTCTTCTTCATCTCTTTCTGCAGTCTTTGGTTTAAAATCTAATTTATTTGGTATAAGGATTGCCACCCCAGCTTTATTTTGATGTCCATTAGCATGATAAATTGCTTTCCATCCCCTCACTTTAAATCTGAGGTGTCTTTGAGTCCAAAACGAGTCTCTTCCAGATAGCATATTGATGGGTTTTGCTTTTTTATCCAATCTGATATACTGTGTCTTTGGATTGGGGCATTTAGCCCATTTACATTCAGGGTAACTATTGAAATATATGAATTTAGTGCCACTGTATTACCTGTAAAGGAACTGTTTCTGCATATTGTCTGTGTTCTTTTCTGGTCTATGTTACTTTGGGCTCTCTCTTTGCTGAAAGGATCCCTTTTAAAAAATATTTCTTGTGGGGTTGGTTTGGTGATCACAAGTTCTTTTTGTTTCTGTTTGTCCTAGAAGCTTTTCTATCACTTCTATCTTGAATGACATGCTCGCTGGATAAAGTATTCTTGGCTGCATATTTTTCTCATTATAAACCCTGAATATATCATGCCAGTCCTTTCTGGCCTCCCGGGTCTCTGTGGATAGGTCTCCTGCCAGTGTAATGTTTCTAACCTTGTAGGTTATGGACCTCTTTTCTGGAGCTGCTTTTGTGATTTTCTCTTTGTCTCTGAGATTTGCAAGTTTCATTATTATATGTCAGGGTGTGACCTATTTTTTTAATTTTTTTTATTTTTAGAGGGGGAGTCTCTCTGCCTGAGGACTAGGATGCCTGTTTATTTCTTCAGATTAGGGGAGTTCTCTGCTATAATTTGCTCTAATATACCTGCTGACCCTCTTGCTCTTTCCTCTTGTGGGATGCCAGTTTTTCTAATATTGTTTCACTTTATGGTATCACTTATCTCTCGAATTTTCCCTTGGTTATCCAGTAATTGTTTGTCTTTCTTTTTCTCAGCTTCTTTATTCCCCATCATTTGGTCTTCTATATCACTATAGAATAGTGATATATCACTATATCACTCTCTTCTGACTCATTTATCCTAGCATTTAGAACTTCCATTTTTTATTGCATCTCATTAATGGTTTTTTTTTTATTTCAACTTAATTAGATTTTAGTTTTTCTATTTCTCCAGAAAGGGATTCTCAAGTGTCTTCTATGCTTTTTTTAGGCCTAGCTAGTATTTGTATAATTGTTATTCTGAACTCTAGTTTGGACATTACTCATGTCCATACTGATTAGAACCCTAGCAGTAAGTACTGTCTTTAGTTCTCTTTCTTGAAGTGAGCTTTTCCCATCTTGTCATTCTGTCCAGAGAGGAATAGATGAACGAGAGAACAAAATACTCAAATGGCAACAATGATCCCAGAGAAATATATACTAACCAAATCAGAAGAGAGCTGAAACCAAAAAAGGAAAAAAAAGAAAGAAAAAGAATATAATCAGACAGGTGAACAGAATAGATCAATACACTGGATTCTGTGTGTATTTTGATCTGATTGTTAGAAAGCTGGTTAGAAAACTAGTCAGAAAACTAGATCCCAAAATTGTAAAGAAAGAAAAACTTATACATGTACAAGATTAAAATTGAATACAATGAAAGGATAGACTCTAACTGTGAAAATGAAAAAAGTCAAGAAAAAACAAGAGGAAAAAAACAAGAGGGGAAAAAAGGGTTATAAACAGGTGACTGGAACAGAGCAATACGCTGTATCTTGAGTGTATTTTGGTTAGTTTGTTATAAGGGACTACATCTCAAAATTGTAAAGAAAAACACACACATACATATATATATATAAACAAAATTAAATATTTTGAAAGGAGAGAATGTAACTATAAAGATGAAAAGCAAAAAAGAATTTTAACAAAATGAAAAAATAAAAAAAGAAACAAAAAAAGGAAGAAAAACAAATATGATCAGACAGGTGAATAGAACAGGGCTATACACTAGATTTTGGGTGCATTTTGCTCTGTTAGAAAAGTTACTGCATCCCTAGATTGTACAAAAGAAAAACATATATACACAAAATTAAATACAAAGAAGGGATAAAATGTAACTAAAAATGACAGATTTTTTAAAAAGATTTATTTATTTGTCAGAGAGAGAGGAAGAATATTGCACAAGCAGGGGAAGTGACAGGCAGAGGGGGAATCAGGTTCCCCGTCAAGCAAGGAGCACCATGTGGGACTCCATCCCAGGACCCTGGCATCATGACTTGAGCTGAAGACCCTCAACTGTGTGAGCCACCCAGGCATCCTTATAGAAAGTTTTTAAAAAGGAGTTGATAAGATAAGAAATTGGTTATAAGAGGAATGAGAAAAAAGTTAAAAAAATTAAGATTGGAAGATTAAAGAATCATGGGGGAAAAAAACCCATGAGTTCTGTGTGCTGTATTCTAGTGCTGGAGTTTTGCAGTTCTCTTTGATTGGTAAATTTGGTTTTGGCTGGATGTTCTTGCTGATCTTCTGGAGGACGGGCCTGTTGGTTTCATTCTGCAGTATATTTGCCCCAGGTGGTATTGTACCGCCCTTGCCAGGGAGCCAGGTTAAGTAATGTGCTCCCGTTTGCTCTCTGTGGCTTTTGTTTCCTGAAGGCTTTCTGTGCAGCTTTAGAGGATGAGAATGAAAACATGAAAACAGCAGCCTGCCAATCTCTGGCCTGGAGCCGAGAGCTCAGGGTCCCGTTCCTCACTGACCCCTCAGAGAAGAGCAGTCCGTCACTCCTGTTTCCCTGGCCTCTGGCTGTATTCCATCCTCACCCAGCCTGTGGCTGAGCATTTCTGTCACAGGTACACCACCCCGTGTTGAGTCTCCAAACCCTGCAGACTCCTGCAGCGCTCTCCTGTACTGCTCCCCTTGGGGAGAAAGAAGGGTCTCCCTGGTTCTGCCACTTACTGGGCCCCTTCTGGAGAGCAGTCACCTGACCGTGCCATGGTCGCAGTTTATGGCAACCCTGAGCTTAGAGCCCTCTCCTGGCATCACATGTAGTAGCCAGCTTCCCTGTTCTGATGTCTAGGAACTCTGCTGCACTCAGGCACCCCCAGTCTTCCTGTGACTCCAAGGATCCTGACACCACACTGTCCCATCTAGGATTCCATCCCCAGTTTGCTGCCTCATGGAGACTGAATAATATGTTTTAATATTTTTCCAGAAAGCTAAAATTTACCAATTTGGGAAGAGATTCATCTGTTACATAGTTTATCTTTTTTGGTTCTTTTCTCTATTCATTCTCTCAATCTTTTCTTTTACTTTTCTTTCAATATTAGCCTCTATTTATTATCCTCTTCCTCTAGAACCTGATATCTTTCTTGTATTATTTTCTTCATTCTTAGGAGTGAAGGTTTTCAGATCTTTTCCTTTTTGTCAAGTAGGAGGATCAGCTTCTAGAACATAACCATGTAATTAGTTACTGTTGTCAAATATGGTTGTTTTGACAGATGTGGTCATTTATGAAAACCCTTCATTTGAAAAATAAGGCTCTTTGATAGGATCGTAGTCATTTATTTTTTTCAGTGGTCTCATTTATTTACTCAGTCAAATATTTATCATGAACCAAATCTATATTTATGCTGTGCTAAGTTTTGGAGAACAAAGTAGTGATAAAAACAGATGTAGTTTTTGCCTTTTGATGGATGTGATGAGATAGGACAGACATAAAACTAAGTGTCATCTACTTAAAAAATTTAAAATTCACTTAAAAAATATTATTTTAAAGAACACAGGAAGAGTAGTTGTAAGAAGTACCCACTGCCATCACACTGACCTTGCATTCCCTGGCAGGATATCCTTGTCTTCGCCAAGGAGTGAATTTCATGCCATGTTGGGGAAAGTGGCTGGAAACTTGCTCTCTGAAACTTACTTGGACTTACCCTCTGATGTGATGGGGAAGCTGTTCCTGGGACAGTGTCTCACTGAATGCGTTCTGCTGTGACACTGAGTGAAGGGGGTTTTTAGGGAAAGGATGGCTGTTGGATGCTGTTGGTATTTGTGCACAGCATGTGCCTGGTTTTGGAGAAAGTCACATCATTGTAGGATATTGGCTGAGCGAGCACACTGACACCAGGAAGCAACACTTTGTCTTCCTGCAGTGTCTCACCAAGGGTTTCCTATCTCCTTTAGTACTAATTTGCAACAGAAAAGTATAAAAAATGCTCAGATCCACTTTCATGGAGCAGGCACATGGGTAAGTTTAGAGCTTATGGAGGAAACAAATTCTAATAGGCCCAGATGCTGTGAAGGAAATGAGAATATCTCCTTATAGTTTTGATGATAGGGTCAGAGAATAGCTCTTTGAAAAAGTAACATTAAGACCAGATGTGTGTATGCGTGTGTGTGTGTGTGTGTAGGACCCACCCAGCTGAAGAGTATAAGGAAGAACCTTCATAGCAGTGTTAAAATGTGAGGGTCCCAGCCTGGGACAGAATTGGGTGATTTTGGCAGCTCCAGAAGGCTACGTTGGTCCTAATGTAGTACGCGAGGGGTAGTGGAATGATGTTAAAAAGGCAGGCACAGTGTCAGTAAAACAAAACTTTGAAAGTCCTTTTAAACAATTCAGATTTTGTTCTAAGTGCAGTGGGAAGTAGAGGAGAGACACAGTAGACTTATATCCAAAACCCAATATTCAACATCCCCCTCTTCTGTTAAGAAACAAACTAGACAGATCACTGTGACCTGGCATCCAGAAAGCTCTCATTGAAAGTAAGGCCTAAGGTGAGATTTCCAGGGAGTATAGGACTTGGATTTGTAGAGTCAGGAACACATGACACAGATTATTTTGGTTGAGGAAGTCTTACAGTGGAGATGGAAATTAGGGTAGAGAAATGCTTAACAGTGTGAGACCAAGAATATTGAATGCCAGATTATCCTTTCTGGCAGCTTCTTGGGACTGTTGTACCTGACTCACTCAGCAAACAGACTTGAGTAAAGTGGTGTTGTCTGTGTTTGAATACAGATAATTTGGGGGAAAGAAAACGAACAACTATGCTGTGAGTCAGTTCTGTACTTAAGTTCCAAGCTTACTGAATGTTTCAGGAAACATAATTTTTTAGATATTTATGTCCCTGGTTTTACCCAAATTGAATTTGTGGGTCAGAAACATTTCTTTGAGGAATCATTACAATTTTGTACCCAGTTATATTTAATTAGGAGTGTATACATACATTGATTAACAAATTACATTATGTTGAAGATACATTGCTTAAGGTATTTTTAAAATTAATACTTCACATTTTCAATTTAAATTTTCTGCAGGTCTACTGTATATTATTGAAACACAGAAAGTTCTTGATCTCAAAATTAATTTGAAGGCTTCATATGTTATTATCCCACAAGATGGAATTTTTAGCCCTACATCAAATCTTCTTCTTTTGGATCTTGGTCATCTAAAGGTATATGCTAACATTTGCCCTATATTATAATATTTAAGATGTTTCCCTGTTTAAAATGTGTTTTGTTTTTTAAACAGCTTGATTTGCTATTATGATTATTAGCTTTATGATAGATTGTAGGATTGATAAGTCTCTTTCCTTCTAATAAATAATGTGAAGTTTCATTAGTTTTCCTATATTTCTGATACCAAAATGGTCATTTTGAATTCTGTAGGTTCGGGTTGAAACTAGGAATTATATTTATAGAATTTGAGAGTAATGTTTGAAGAGATTATTTCCTTTTCAATGTAAATTTACTATTTGACTAATGAAAATACATAAAATGGGAAGGGATTCTGGAAATAATCAAATCTTTGTCCTTCTGAATTTTTTTGTGTATATAACTGTATATATTGACATTTATTTATTTATTTATTGGACATTTTAATATTTCTATTAAATAATCCTAGTTTGAGGAACAGTCTAATTGCATTTACCTAAGTCATTTCCTTTTCCATCCAATTATGTACACTTTTTCTTCCTCAGTTTTAAGTAGAGAATAATTTTTTTCTTTGTTTTTAGATCTGCACTGTTCTGTACTCACTGGCTCTACATGTAGTTGTTTACACTGATTAAATTTAAATGACATAAAAAATTAGTTCTTTAGTCACATTAGCCACATACAAGAATTTAATGGTATTAAGTGCCTGGGGCTGTTATTTCAGCTCGGATAGAGAACAATGCCATCCTCATAGAAAGTTCTGTGGGACTGCACTGCTCTAGATCATTAAATGTATATTAAATAGCTATAAGATTTAAAGACCCAAGAAAGATAGGTAATATTGGAAAGCTTTTCTAGCTACCTAACAAATATGTGCCTTTCCTTGATATTGACATTATCCTTTATTCTTTGTTTTTATTCTTCACTTGGTAATTACATAGAAGCTTGCTGGATTTATGTTTATAATAAAATTTATACAGTTATTTACATTTGACTTTGGTTATAGAATTGTTTCAAGGGCAGTGTGGTGTGGTAGCAGGAGCATAAAGTCATGAATAAGGTATCTATCTAGTTTTGTGACATTAGGCAATTTGTTTAACCTGTTATCTAAAATTCATTACCCTTTAGAGATAATCAGTTTTGACAGTCTGCTGCACATGGGCTATATAAACTAGAGGTGAAAATGTTAAGGCGCGTGCACACACACACACGAATGAATAAGATCTTTATATACTGTGGAGTGATTGATCTCCAGGATGTTTAAGTGAAAAAAGTAGTTATGTATAGTACACCAAAGAGGAGATGGTGCAAATATAACTTGCATGAGGTTGTCTAAATGGCAGAGTTGGGACTACAGTTCAGCTACCCTAATACTTAATTCTGGATTCTTCTTCTTATAAAACTATCTAAATATCTGTGATTGTGACATAGAAACATTTTGTAGGCTGCTTTTGTCTTTTAATTTTGTTTTTTAATAAAAAGACTTCTTATCAGATATAAAAAAGTTTCAAATGTATTGTTCTCCAGGGCTGGCTTGGTTTTCCTCTTTTAATTACATAATTGAGAAATATAACTTAATATGTAAAAATTCACTTTGTCCCTGGTCTTCTCGTTATACACGTCATGGATAAAGACATTTCTGTTACCCTTACATGTCAGCTTGTGAGTCTGTTTTATCTTCTATTAAATTTTTGTGTTACAGTCTTAAAGATAACAAAATTTATGTTTTTATTTTGAAGTATTTTGCATCATCTAAACTGTTAAAATTAATTCGAAGGTGACAAGTAAAAGTCGTTCGGAATTGCCAGATATGAAAGCAGGTGGGGCCAGTCTTGAAGAGATCATGCAGAGAGCTTACGATTCCTTTGACGTTCAGCTTACCAGCATACAGCTGCTTTACAGCACAGTTGGTAAGTGTATAATGCATTACTTATTGATTCTTTTTTTTCTGAAATGATTAGGTTTTTAGACAATTTCTCTGAAGACCTTCCTCCCAAATATGTTAAAACTTTTATATTTTGGGGATGCCTGGATGGCCCAGTTGGTTAAGTGTCTGCTTTTGGCTCAGGTCATGATCTCAGGGTCCTGGGATTGAGTCCTGTGTTGGTCTCCTTGCTCGGTAGGGAGGCTGCTTCTCCCTCGCCCCCTCCTCCCCATTCTCTCTCCTGCTCTCTCTCAAATGAATAAGTAAAATCTTATTTTTTAAAAAAATGAGGGGCACTTGGGTGGCTCGGCGGGTTGAGCCTCTGCCTTTGGCTTGGGTCATGATCTCAGGGTCCTGGGATCGAGCCCCGCATCGGGCTCTCTGCTGAGCAGGGAACCTGCTTCCCCCTCTCTCTCTGCCTCTCTGCCTACTTGTGGTCTCTGTCTGTCAAATAAATAAATAAAATCTTTAAAAAAAAAAATGAAACTTGTATACTTTTGAGTAGGAAGTAATAGTAGACCGTGTCTAGGAACAGTATCTCAGGTATTTGATTTTACTGCTCGAGAGACGTTGTCAGTGTCTGGAGACATTTTTGACTGTCACAGGTGAGAAGTAGGAGCATTACTAGTATCTAGTGAGTGGAAGTCAGGGATGCTACTAAATGTCATACATTGTAGAGGAAAGCCACTCCACAACGCTTATTTGGCCCAAGTATCAATAGTGCTGAGATTGAGAAATCCTTTGGACAAGGTTGGAAGACATTGGCACATATTTAAAATATTTGTTTTATATAGGACAATCACAAGAGGCCGCTCACAGCCAGAGGCATTCCCGCCTGGGGCCTCTGACACTCCAGGCCATAAACAGCCGCACAAAGACAGAGGAGGATGTTAGGAGGATTGAGGAGGGTATCACAGGCCTATCTTTACCCCGTTCACTTTTGATGGAGTCTTTGCTGTTAATCTAGTTTTTAGATGAAGTCAGCAGAGCCAGAAATTAGCTTGTCAAGAGCCACTAAAAGTAGATAGTGAGAGAGACGCAAGACTAGTTGAGCCCTTTTTCTACTGTGTCATCCTGTTTCTAAATTCCTGGAGTGTTAATAAACATTTAGATAATTCAACAGTTGGATTGATGGATGTTTTAGAGAACTGTATATATATGCTCAAATTTTAATTATCTGAGCGAACTAATAAAAAGAGAATGAGAATCCAAAGTAATGGTTATTAAAAGTATTAAATTGTATATTTCTGGAACATTTTTTATTATTTTTATGTTCAATTTGGGATAATAAACTTGATTTCCATTTTTAGCATATTCTGGTTGGTGTAGAAAAAGCCCAGAAGTGTAGTGGGTGGCAAATATAAAGTATTTATAGAAAACCCATAATGTTTTTTTCCAAGGAGTAAATAACAGTATTGTGGTATATTTAGTACATTTTGGTCATTGATTTTTGAAGTCCATGAAGTGTACTTAATATTTAAGATGTTGTGATGCTTTGTGAAGAAAAATTTAAAGTATTCCATTATTGCTGAAAATTACTGGAATTATTTAGAATTGTTTTTGTAAGTGTTAACTGTTCTTAAATAATTATATCTTTTTTAGAGTAATGTATTTTTGGCATTGGGGTTACTTTAGGTAATTGTAATTGTCATAAACTCTCTTGATAAATACTGAAACCCTTCTAAATATTTTTTTTCTATAAATTGAGAATAGAAGGAAATATTTCACTAATCCTGATACCGTTAGAATTTATAAAACTGTAATAGTTCATTTTACTTTTTCTTACCAGAATAATTAGGTTCAAAGTGTAATGTATATGAAGATACATTGTACCACACAAATTTCATGTTAGCAGAGCTGGATATAAACTTCAACTTATATAGCCTTTTGACCATAAGCAAATTAAAAATTCCTCTGAGTCCCAGTTTTCTAAAATGAGATGATTAAACATCATTGTGAGAATTAAATGAAAATTTAAACATTGCCTGGAGCAGTGCCTATTAGAAATCTTGAATAAATGGTAGCTTTCATTAATACAAAAGAACTGTACTTTTCTCTACCTTCCTTTTTCTTTATTGCCTTAGAGCCATTTTGGGGGCTAGGGGGGCGGTTATGTATCTGCTGGGTGTAGTGACTAAATGGATGCACAGTAGATTTGGTTAAACTATGTTTTTGGTTTTTTAATAAGCCTTTTCCTGTTGAAACAGTCTTTGAAGCAGTGAAAGGGAAACAATTTACCTGCTGATTTTGTGTACCTGAAGCATTAAGATTTGTATAGATGGGGGTGCCTGGGTGGCTCAGTGGGTTAAAGCCTCTGCCTTCAGCTCAGGTCATGATCTCAGGGTCCTGGGATCGAGCCACGCGTCGGGCTCTCCGCTCAACGGGGACCCTGCTTCCTCCTCTCTCTCTGCCTGCTTCTCTGCTTACTTGTGATCTCTGTCTGTCAAATAAATAAATAAAAAAAATCTTTAAGAAAAAAAAAAAAAAAAGATTGTGTAGATGTAGGAAGATTTTTCTATACCATGCAGTATATGACTACAAAGTATTAGTGATTTTAGGTTTAATGTGTGTTTCAGATTACATGTGTGCTAATAAGTAAACATGTACTGTTTTCCATAATTAGGTGATAATTGGAGAGAAGCACGAAAACTCAATGTATCTACACAGCATGTTTTGGTACCTATGCACTTTAATGTGGAGCTCTCGAAGGCCATGGTTTTCATGGATATAAGGATGCCCAAGTATGTATTGTCTCTTTCATGTGATTGTAGATTTTCTAAGGGAATACCATATCTCATTGATTTTTTGATGGGGGGGTAAAATATATGTAAGATAAACTTTATTTTTAAGTGTACAATTCGGTGACATCAAGTACTTTCACATCCATCTCCATAACTTTGTCATCTTCTCAAACTGAAACTGTACTCATTAAATAATAATGCCCCACTTTCCCAGCCCATGGAGGTCATGATTGATTGTTCTCTCTCTACAAATCTGGCTACTCTGGGTACCTTTCATAAATGGAACCATGCAATGTTTGTCCTTCTGTGTCTGAGTTATTGTACATAGCATAATGCCTTCAAGGTTTATCCATGTCATAGCATATATCAGAATTTCATTTGTTTTTGAGGCTGAAAAATATTTCATTGCATATTATGGATCAAATGGACATTTGGATTATTCCAATGAAATTTGGCTGTTGTAATAGTGCTGCCGTGAAGATCGATATACAAATAACTGTTCGAGTCCTTGCTTTAAATTTTTTTGTTTATATATCCAGAAATGGAATTGCTGAATCCTACGATAATTTTATTTTTAATTTTTTGAGGAACTGCCCTACTGTTTTCCATAGCAGCTGTACCATTATATTCCCACCACCAGTGCACAAGGGTTCCAGTTTTTCCACCTCTTTACCATCTCTTATTTTCTTATTTTTAAAAACAGTCCTCCCCAATACATATGAAATAGTATCTGATTAGAGTTTTCAATTGTATTTTCCCAATGATTACTGATTAGGTAATTTTCAGGTACTTATTTGCAATTTACATATTTCTTCGGAGAAATATCTTTTCAAGTCCTTTGCCCATCTTTGTTTTTTTTGTTGTTGTTGTTTTTTTTTTAGTTGCAGGAGACTTCTGTTTTTAATTATATTCTGCATGTTAACTCCTTATCAGATAAATCATTTGCAAATATTTCCTCTGATTTTGTGGATTGCCTTATTTATCACTCTTTTGATCGTGTTCTCTGATGCATAGAAGTTTTAAATACTAGGTTCAATTTGTCTGTTTTCTTTGCTTTTGGTGTTATAGCCAAGAAATTATTTTCAAATTCGATGTCCTAAAACTTCTCCTGTATCCTTTTTACAAAGAGTTTTATACTTTGAGCTTTCATGTTCAGATCTTTGATAGATTTAGTGTTATTGTTTGCATATGGTATAAGGTATGGCCTCAGCTTTATTCTTGTGTATGTGGATATCTGGTTTGCCCAGCACCATTTATTGAAAAGACTATCTTTTCTCCATTGAATAGTCTTGGTACTGTTATGAAAATCATTTGGCCATGCTTGTGATGGTTTATTTCTGGGTTTTCTGTTCTATTTCCTTGGTCTCTATTTCTGTCCATATACCAGAGCCACACAGTTTTGATGACTAGAGCTTTGTGTAGTAAGTTTTGAAATCAGGCGTATGAATTATCCAACTTTGCTTTCTAGATTGTTTTGGCTATTTGGCATCCTCTAAGATTCCTTAGGAATTACTGGGTGGATTTTCTGTTTTTATAAAAGATACTTTGATTTTGATATATATTGCATTGAATCTGTAAATGCTTTGAGTAGTGACATCTTAATATTAAGTCTTCCAATCCACGAACATGAGATATCTTTCCATTTCTTTGTGTCTTCTATGACTGCTTTCAGCAGCATTTTGATGGTTTGCAATGTATGTCTTCTACTTCTGTGATTAAGTTTATTTTTGATACTATTGTAAATAGAATTGTTTTTTTTTTTTAAGATTTTATTTATTTATTTGACAGAGAGAGATCACAAGTAGACAAAGAGGCAGAGAGGGAAGCAGGCTCCCTACTGAGCAAAGAGCCCGATGCGGTTCTCGATCCCAGGACCCTGAGATCATGACCTGAGCCGAAGGCAGCGGCTTAACCCACTGAGCCACCCAGGCGCCCTAGAATTGTTTTCTTAATATCCTTTTGGACTGTTTATTGTTACTGTATAGGAGTGGATTCTTCTGAGTTGGTTTTAATATTCTATAACTTTGCTGAATTCATTTATTATTTCTTTGTGTGTGTCTGTGTGTGGAATTGTTAGGGTTTTCTACATATAAGATTACTTTATCTTTGAACAAAGGCAGTTTTACTACTTTCTTTACAATTTGGATGCCTTTAACTTTTTCTTGCCTAATTAGTTTCACTAGAATTTCCAGTGCTATGTTGAATAGAAGTGATTTAAGCAGTCATCCTTTATCCTGAGCATAGAGGAAGAGGTTTTGGTCTTTCATCATGGAGTATGTTAGCTGTGGGTTTATTTTATTTTATTTTATTTTATTTATTTATTAAAAGATTTTATTTATTTTTATTGGACACAGAGAGAGAGAGAGACCACAAGTAGGCAGAGAGGCAGGCAGAGAGAGAGGGGAAAGCAGGCTCCCCGCTGCTCTCCCCTGAGATCATGGTCTGGGCTGAAGGCAGAGGCTTAACCCACTGAGCCACCCAGGCGCCCTGCTGTGGGTTTTTTAATATATGACCTTTATTATGTTGATGTAGTTAGCTTCTGTTGCTAATTTGTTGGATGTTTCTATCATAGAAGTGTGTTGAATTTTTTCAAATACTTTTCAGCAGAGGAAATGATTGTGTGTTTCTTTTCCTTCATTATATTAATGTTGTGTATTATAATGATCTCTCTTCACATGTTGAACCATCCTTGCATTCTAGGAATAAATTACAGGTCATGGTGTATAATCCTTTTAAGGTACTGTTGAGTTTTGTTTGCTAGAATTTTGTTGAGGATTTTTGGATCAGTGGTCATAAGGAATATTGGTCTATAGTTTTCTTGAAGTGTCTTTGTCTAACTTTGGTATCGGAGTAATCATGGCCTTAAAATGAGTTAGGAAGTGTTCCTTTCTCTCCCAGTGTTTTAAAGAATTTGAGAAGAATTTATATTCTTTTCAAATGTTTGCTAGAATTCACTAGTGAAAGCCTTTAATCATGGGCATTTCATTATTGGGAGATTTTGGATTACTGATTCAATCTCCACACTAGTGATAGGTCTTTCCAGGTTTTCTGTTTTTTCACAGTTTAGAGTTTTGGTAGGTTTAGGTTTCTAGAAAATTGTCCATTTTATCTTGATTATCCAGTTTGGTGTAAAATTGTTCATAGCTATCTTATAATCATTCTTATTTCAGTAGAATTGGTAGTAATGCCCCTGCTTTCATTTCTGATTTTAGTTGTCTTTTCTCTTTTATTTCTCAGTCTTCCTAAAAGTTCAACTCTGTTCATCTTTTTGAAGAATCACTTACCAGTTTTGTTGAACTTCTCTGTTATTTTTCAGTTGTCTGTTTTGGTTCTCTTTGCTCTTTATTTCCTTACTTCTGCTGACTCTTGGTTTAGCTTGCTCTTTTTCTAGTTTCTTAAGGTGTAAAGTTAGTCGATTTGAGAGCTTTTTTTTAATGTAAGTGTTTACAGCCATACATTTCTCTCAGTATGGCTTTTGGTATATTCTATAAATATTATTCTGTGTTTTCATTTTTACTTGTCTCAAGATATTTTCTCATTTTCCTGTACTTGCTTCTTTGACTTATTGTTTAATATGTGTATTGTTTAATTTCCACATACTTGTGAATTTTACATTTTCCTTCTTTTGATTTCTGGTTTCATTCCATTGTGATCAGAAAAGATGCTTTCAATGATTTCAGACCTCTAAAAAATTTGACACTTGTTTGTGGCCTTCTTTATGGTTTGTCCTGGAGAATGTTCTGTGTGCATTTACGAAAGATGTGTATTCTGGTCTATTTTTGGTCCGTTTTTGTCAATAGCATTGTTCTCGTCCTCTTTTTGGGCTTCTGTTTGTTACATCAGATATTGAAATGGGGTATTGAAGTCTCCTGACTGTAGGTCGTTTCTTTCCTTAGTTCTGTCAGTGTTTGATTTGTATATTTTTGATCTGATGGTTGGTGCATCTATGTTTTAATTTATATCTTAATAGCAAAATTACCTTTTTATCATTGTATAATGTCCTTTGTCTCTAGTAACAGATTTTGACTTATAATCTTTTCTGATTGCTTTTATTAAAGCTATTCCTATTTTCTTATATTTATTATTTGCATGAGATGTTTTTTTCTGTTCTTTAACTTTCAAACTGTTTGTGCCCTTAGATCTAAACTGAGTCTCTGGCAGACAGCCTGTAGTTAGATCTCATTTTTTTCATCCATTCTGTCATTTTGTATCTTGCATTTGAAAACTTAAACCATTTACATTTAAAGTAAATATTGATTGAATGACTTCCTCGAGCTCAAGGCTTTGTGTGTGAAGTATAGGGAGAAGGATGGAGGTAAGCAGTAAATAGCCTGGCCTTTTCCCATATGCTGTGGATGTGGCTGCTATTACTTAACTGCTCTCGTCTGGTGAAAGAGACCTACACCGCTCTTTGTTGTTTTTCAGAGTATAGTGACTATGTCCACTAGCAAACATAGTGTAATGTACTAAATCTTATTCTCCTAGACTGTCTTCTTTTAGGAAATCAGACTGCATTCTGAGAGTCTTAAGGCAGAGGAATGTCAGGAATTTGGCCTGAGAAAGAGAGTAGGAAAGAAAGCCATTCTGCACATTCCACTGTTTTTTCATAATCCAGCACAAGGTGTAGTTTGATTTTTAGATACGCGGCTTGGGCTCTTTAGTTCTTACCCAGATGTCCCACTGCTGTTTTATTGTTGCGTAATACTTCTTGTAAAGTTTATCAATATGTGGTGAAAAACAAGATGGATGTGATTTCCTTTTGTAAACATGAGTATGAATTGATTCCTTTTAAGCTTATTTCTATGTATGCTGGAATCTAGAAAGTTAGGGAGTACCAGAAAAAAGAAGTTGATATTATTCTGAGGGACATTGCTTTGGATTGCTCTACTTACTAGGATACAATTAGGAAGAATTTATGTCCTGTATTGCAGAGAATATGTATAGTATAGAAACAACTGAAATAACTGATTAAAATACTTATATCTAGATAGATAGAGGAA